CACACACACACACACACACACACACACATATCTTTTTGACCATTTTGGATGATACCTTAGTATACATTCCTAGAAGTGGGGGGTCAAAAGTGGGATCAAATGTGTGATTAGGTTATTTTAAAATAAATGCCTGGCCAGTCAGATCATATTTTCTTAGCAGTAATAAGCTCTGGTTCCCAGAAAAAATATTTCTTAAAATCTCTCCTGTAAAGCTCAGGGGTAAATGTGCACGTGTATGTTTTGCAGGCAATTGCAGGAATGTAGAAATTCAGTTATATGTTGAAAGAACAAACTGATGTCAGCTGCATTATATATCCCTCACTGAAGTTTCTTGCTGTAAGGGCCAAAAATAACACTAAGTAGAGCACTCTTGAGATGTTTTATGTAATCCTGCTTCTGAATTGTGGCTTCTGAGAGCCAGCTGCAGTAGGATTGCTTCTAGGAATACAACCTGATTAGCTTTATTGGGGTAGAGGTTCCACCTGCTTGAATCTTTATTTTCAAGGTGTACTCATATCAGTGCTTGATAAGCTTGTTATGCTTTCACTTAAGATCAAAAGATGACTTAAATCAAATCAATGTATATGTTAAGGAGATGCTGTGCTAAAGGCAATGGAATCAAGTTGATGTATAGATTTCATGGGATTATTTTGTATAACAGGGTAGCTATCTGTCCTGGATAGCTCTGGACTGAGATTTCCCAGGACACAGGGTGTGATTGATTATGAGCTTCTACCTATTCCTTTACATTTCTTAAAGATTGCAAATTTTATGCTAATTATTCATGGCAAATACTTAAAAGTACATTAAAGTAAAATCACATTTTTTTCCATAATGTTCTTTTTCTGAGATTTGTAGACTAAATTCAGTAATGACTTTCATGCTTTTAATTAAAGTATGTTGGTAATACACTAGCATATCAGTATAATTTTACTATTTTCAGCCTATACTTTCTGCCAAAAAAGAGTATTTATTTATATGTTAAAAAGATTATTGAGGTGACTGTGTGGACATTGTCTAAGGCAGTGGTTCTCAACCTTGGCTGCACATTAGAATCACCTGGGAATCTTTTTAAAATCCTGATTTCTGGGCCTCATCCTCCGGAAATTCTGTTTCTTTGTTATGGGGTGGTTTGTTACTAATGTTGTGGCCTCACCCCATAACAAAGACACAGAATTTCTGGAGGATGAGGCGCAGAAATCAGGATTTTAAAAAGATTCCCAGGTGATTCTAATGTGCAGCCAAGGTTGAGAACCACTGGTCTAAGGGATAATGGTAAGTATGATAAATTACTCAAATAGAGAAAATGTGTGTGTCAAATCTTAATGGTCTTTTTCTGAACAAGCTGAAGAAACGTTCCTAGATTCTTTGGAGATTCTAGTAGTATTTTGGTTTGCTAATAAAAGTCAAGGAAAGTGGCTAGCTTTTTGTTTGTCTGTTTTTAATATCTTACAAGATGCTTGTGTAAAGTGTTTCCACATCAGTAATTTCACATTGTCTTTATTCATGTATTATACAATATGGAACTGCACAAATTAGATCCAGGTCCTAAAAGTGGTAAGAATAAGAAGTTAGTAAGTTACTTAGTAAAATTAACTTCTAATCTTTAATTATGTATAGATCTCACAAATTTCGTTCACTGGGCCTCCAGTTTATAATAATTTCTTACCAATTTACACCTTTCCCTATACAGGTCTGTTTGTCCAACTGCCTGTTTCACATTTTTATTTGGATGTCTAACAGGCATTTCAAACTTGCAAGCAACTCTGGGAGGATTTCACTTGCATCCCAATTTAATGCCTTGGTTTCCACATCTTCCTGGGGGAGGTTTCTGAGGCCATGCTTATTTTTCATGGTGCTTCTGCTTTTATTTGGAGTATTTCAGTTCTGTTCCATTATTTGTTTTCTGGTGCCTGTTCTTTATTCTTGTGGCATTTTTTAATCTAATAGGTAATATAGCCTAACTCTCACAAACATCATAATCTACACTAATAAAAGAGAAACATGGTAATTAGCGTACGACCGCTACCCTTTTCATTGGCTAATCAGTGAGTATATGCAAATTAACTGACAACCAAGATGGCGGCCGGCAGCCAGGCACTGAAGCGAGCACGAGGCTTGCTTGCTGCAGACTCCAACCTTCCCCGCCTAACTTGCCAGCCTCTGAGTTGCAACTCTAAGCAACTATATACTATGTTGCAAATAAGAAG